AGGATTACAAGAATGGCCCCTGTGCTGGGTCAAGTCTTATTTTTTTCACACAACTTTTTTCTGTTTTATTGCATACATTGCTTAATATTTTTATTATATTTTGTCACCTATATTTTTTCTTAAAGAAATAAACTTTATAAAGGTAAGGATCTTCGATGCTTTTTCCTCCCCAGTGTATCTCACTGCTTAAGTCAGTGTGGATCACAAAGGATGTGCTCGATAAAAATAGTGAGCTGATGATTGAATGATTTTGGATGTACTAAGGTACATGAGACTTTTTCCTTTCAAAAATGGAAGAAGTTTTCTGTACCAAAGCAGTAAAGAACTGGAAGTGTGGCATAAAATTTACAATTATTCACTATAGGTATTTGGTTGTATAGTCTTTTTTTTTTTTTAAAGGCAAATAAAGGGCCGTGGAGATTGCTCAGTAGAATAAGCACTTCCCTGGCAAGCACAAGTGCCTGAGTTCTATCCCTCATTCTGCCCCCCACCAAAAAGGCAAATAAAAATAAGATGTACCCATTATAAAGGTCTTCCCACCTTCAAACACCTTGTATTCTTAAATCTCCAAGTCACTACTCAAATTAAAAATCAAGGTTTTCACGTAAATTATTTTAGAATCTGAAACATACACATTATTCACAAGTAAAACTCCACATGTTATTTATCTCTCTCACATAATATTTATAAGATTCCTTATTCTAGGTCCTTTTTCAATGTACCTAAGTCATTATTTGTAAAACTGAAACATTCTCTCTCACTCAATTCTTTGAACTATAATTAAAATCATTTACGTATTTATTTATTTATCTGGTACAGGGTCTCACTATGCAGCTCAGACTCATAGTGATCCTCCTGTCCCAGTCTCTTCTGTGATGGGATTACAGGCGTGCACTGCTAGGCCCAGTCTTGGTGGCTGGTTCTTTGTGCTGGGGTTCCTGGGCTGGGACATCATGATGTACCAGGGATCAAACCTGGGTCCTTGTGCTTGCCAGGCAGGTACTTACACTGCTGAGCTGTCTTCCCAGCCCATCTTTGATGTTTAGAAGAGTGAGTGAGGTGGCAAATACAACACCAGTTCTTTACTGCTTTGGTACAGAAAACTTCTTCCATTTTTGAAAGGAAAAAGTCTCATGTACCTTAGTACATCCAAAATCATTCAATCATCAGCTCACTATTTTTATTGAGCACATCCTTTGTGATCCACACTGACTTTGGCTATGAGGAAATCCCACTGGAGATCTTTAGCAGTTAAAACAAATAAGCACAAAAGATTCGTCTTAATCTTTCAGTTATAAAGTTCCCATTTTCAAACTTTTAGCCTCATTGAAACTGAGATACAGTTTAAACATCTATGGTCTGCTATAGTTTATGTAGTTGTATTACTTCTTAATGTTATGTAAAATGGTGGTGCAAGAAAACTTCTTGCAGAAGTTTTCTGTATAATTGGTACAAGCATAGATTTAAATAAATCCATGTTTAGTGGCAGAGCTGACTGTGTTACAACATGGCCTGTCACCAGGCGGTGTAACTGATAATCCCAAGGTCCTGCTAACTGGTTGAGATTACACTCTAGAGTGAATATGGTTAATTTTTTTTATGGTAATCTGTACAAATTTAATCCCAACCAGGCCAGGTGTGGTGGTACACTCCTGTAATCCTAGGACTCAGGAGGCTGAGGTAGGAAAATCACTTTGAGTTTGAGGTCATACTCAGCTACAAAGTGAGTCCAAAGGCAGCCTGAACTACATAGTGAGACCCTGTCACAAAAAAAAAGACAAAAACAAAACAACAACATCAAAAAAAAAAAACCCCAAACCCTAATCCAAACCATTTTTCATAGTAAAATGTAGGTATTTTGAAGGATGATGAAAAACACCATGTTATATTCAGAGGATGAAGCTGATTCATGAAGAGATCTAGTAGAGGAATAGCTCATTTCACAAAAGCTTCTGTTTGTGTACAAGTTGCTTCTGAACAGAAGCATTTGGCGAAGTTTGCTTCCATTTGTAAACTCGTAGGGATGTGAGCACAAGCATGGTCATCTTCCCTGCACAAACTGGGTCACGGACATCTTCCTTGGAAGAGTGGAATCAAGTTCCCGACCCAAGGCACCGACCCTCAAATGTTCATCCTCTCAAACCATATGATTTTTAAAAAGACATATATGTGCATAGGTACATAGATTTCTCTTCAAATAGGTTACTGCTGAAGAACTGAGATAGCTATTACATTATTATTATAGACTGTTATAGATCTCTACAGATCTAGAGAGGTAAAACTCAAAAAAATTGTAAGTTTCTGTTGGCAGAAAAGCATAAGATTATTTTTCAGATCAAGGTTTTGAATAAAAGGTTATTTAAAAACTTGAAAAGCCCAGCCCCACGGCAGGGCACGCT